GTGGTGGTGGTGGTGGTGGTGGTGGTGGTGGTGATGATGATGATGATGATGATGATGATGACTATGACTAGTAATAATACCATTCCTTCTGCCTTTTGATTGTGAATATGTAGGACTACTGCATAGGCAAAATTTTAAGAGGGAATTCTTCCAATTCCTGTTAGGGATTTTTTCATTGTGATATAAAGAATGCTGACTCAATATTGTGTTTTGGGGACATTTGGGACTCACTCTCATAACCAAGTTTTATGAGAGTCACATAAAACATAGGATGCCTAACCAGCCACCCTATGGCTTGAAGAAGATGAGTTGGTTAACATTATTGTTTAATGAACACAAATGGATTGTGGTTGAGCAATAGGAAGTATTTTTATGAACTCTGTTAACATCATGTAGCCATTGGAAGATTTTCACAATTTCACAAGTAGCCGAATGCTCTTACTAACTTACTGTTTCACAATGTGTTGGAGCACTGTCAAATGCAAGACAGTACAAAATGAGTATTAACATTTGATTCATTATATACTACCTATTGTTAGACAAGCATGATGCTAATATCTTGTTGGTCTTTTGTTCCCCATAAATATTATAGAAGTTATATATGAGAACTTATACGAGGTACAAAACAATTGACCACTGCCACAGTGCTTCCTCTCTTTTTTTTTGCGGTTTATTACCATTGTATTTTTCCTGGTCCCCTTCTTTTCCCTTTCCTTGACCATTTTGTCTTCTTTTCCAAACTAGCCTTTTCTCATTTAGTCCTTTCCCTAACCCTTTGAAATTTTCATCACTGTAATTTTTGGGCCATTTAATTTTGGAAGTTTTCCTACCATGTAGAACCTATGCACCAATTTCGGTCAATTTGGTGGTTTATGCTTTGGCTTCAATAGAATACTTTTATAACTTCATGGAATTAATATGTTTGATATCTAACATCCAGTCACAGCTTTGATTTCTCACTACTTAAAGCTTTCTTTTAGTATTTAAAGATACAGGTGTGCCTTAAGTTCACAAAACACAATCCTGCCCTTTTCAGAGCTCTTTCAGTCAGCCCGACTTTCAGTGAGACTGATTCAGAAACAGGGAAGAGGCTCTGTGCATTTGTCAACTATCATGGCTGAGGGAGTAGGTAGGCAAGATGGCTGAGAAATGTATCCGACCCCCCAAAGAAAATTTAATATCCTGCCTCTAGACAATTTACATGACTGCTACAAACAGGACTGTATAGTGACTCTGCTGTTTTCTTTCTCAACATGTTCCTGAATTCCCCTCTTACGGGATGAACTGGCTGGTGCTGGCAAATCTTAGAGCCCATTGTGAAGAATGGCAGACCTCCAACATCACACAGCATGCACTCATTTCTTCATCAGTATACAGGATCCTTCAAAAAGCCTCCACTGCGAAGACCACACAGCGTTATAGGGGGCAGCCTGGGTTCTTTCATGGCAATGCCAAGAAATGGGAGCAGATTAGGTAATGTGTCTTTTTAATATTAATTATTAAGTTAGTAGGTTCTCTTTTTTCCTCTTCTTGCCTTCATGCTAGAATAATTGTAGTGCAGCAATACTGTATAATACAACTTCCAAGTTAAGATATTTAATATCTCTCAACATATTTTGTATGCATTTTGAAAGGCATTTGCTATTTAAAGGAAAACCAAAGACACATGTGTTCATTGCATATCAAATGTGATTTGAACGTTGGTATAACCCAGAGATTCCAAATATGATGGCTGTGATATTAGTAGAATGGCATGCTATCCTGACGAATAACCAAACAAACAAGGAAACAATCCAAGTTGACCACTGCTACAACAGCTGGGTGTTCATTTATAAAACTTATGAAGTCTCCTGCTGCTTGAGGACAAGAGTACACTTTTCAGCATTTTCTGCTGGGCAGTAGCCACTCAGAGTACTTGGGAAGCTCACAGGTAGGGACAGTTTCACAAAACAGTGGCAGTCCTCCAGTGTTAACACCCTAGCAGCTGATGCTTAAGGTACAATTCTTATTATTCAATAAGGTCTGTACAGCCATCAAGACGAATAGCGATTAACAGCCAGTTCACCATGAACTTGGATACCTCACCCCAGCTTTAAAATTTTATTTTATTTATTTATTTATTAGGTTTGTACCTGCTACAGACAAGAAAGACTCTTGGCAGTTTACATTTACCCAATGAATTACAATAAACATCTATAGTATAAAAATAACCAACCCATTCAGCAAAATTACACATAAACAGACAATCAAATTAACAGATAACAGCACAATCAAGCAATGGCATCAACTCATCCCTCCAGAGTTCTCCAAAAAAATTCAACTTTTAATAACTTACGGAAAATAGGGACAAATCAGCTTTTTAGAGAAGGCTGTTCCAAAGCATAAGCACAGCAACGGAAACAGTGCCTGCAAGCCTCCATCCACTTCATCAGACAAAAGTGATGAATGAAAATCAGATTCTCCAGGGACTTGGACCCAGTACTGCATCTTAGGCCAAAAAATACTCATAGTTTAAATATAAAGAAGTATTTCTTTATCAATCCTCCACCCCCCACCCCACCCCACTAGTATTTCCTTGGAATTGAGCTGCTCTAGCTCCACTTTCCAGCCTTTTAAGTGTCCTTTTTCAAGCATGGGGCTCGCATCAGTGGAAGTGGCTTGTGAGGTAATTGATTTTACCCCCGTCATCTTGAATGTCTTTAGTATTTATGTATAGGGTTTGTTTTATTGTGGATTTTTATGGATTGAA